ACATGGAAGGCAGAGGAGGGCAGTATATATAGGTTGAGAAAATTGAAAATGGAAAATAAATAAATAAATAAAATAAAGAGTCAGCTCCAATAATGGTGGATGTTGCGTTTATTATGGTCATGTGCTTCTCAATGATATGATTTGTTCAGCAACAGAAAGAAGAAGAAGACGAAGAAGGGTGGAAAAAGGGTAACACACAAATGAAGTCAATCCCGTTCCCATCAGATTCTTCAATTATTATTATTTTTTTTTATATTTTAATATTTCTTAATATATCAAATATGGAATAATATTTTCTTTTCCAGTTAAATAATATTCGGAGCCATAATTTTGAATTTTTGTGTATCGTGTAGTCGCCTCATGTCTAGTGCACGTGCTCAATTCGTCCCAAACTGTGACTCATGCCTTAACTCGTCCCCCTACACTCCGTTACGCTCAGTAGCTCTAGCTCGCCTTAGATGACTTATTTGACTTGGTTCTAATCTATTTGAAGTATCACGACTCTATTCTACCATTTTGGACAGTTCCATAGCCGATTTTGACGTTACTAGAAGTATTTTTGAGGTTAGTATGACCCTTGTTTGGTCAATTTAAGTTATCTTCGAGCCAAAAGTTGATTTAATTGGTACCATGAAATGAATTGTATCGTATATTATGCCTTAATACGATGTCATGGGCTTAAGTAGGTTAAATTGGATTTTGAAGAACAAATTCAAACTAGTTATAAGAATAATTAGTAACTCCAGCTAGACCAACCCATATGTGTAATTATGAATAATATGAAAAAAAGGAAGCTTATACCATGATTTAAAAGTTATGGGTATCTTATGCATTTTTCTACGTCACGTGTATCAGGATCCTTCCCAGTTATGACTAGTACAAACACGTACATTACAGTATTTATGCACATCATGTATACACCCGCTAGTGGGTCTATGCACACGTGTGAGGTTGTAGAGTTAAAAATCATAATGGTTTATGAGAAGATAGATCTCACCATGATTGCTTGTAATTGCATGTCATGACTCCAATAACTACTTGCGGAGTGCTTTTAAATACTGTAACATCATCGTGAAGAAATAGAACTTTTTTTTTATTTTTTTTATTTTAAAAGAAAATAAGAATATTTTTATTAATATAACCTAAAAAAAAAAAAAAGAGAATTATTTGAAAAATTCACGCGATTTGCTTTCTCCATTTTCATACTTCATCCAATTTTATTCAATAAATGACTCACCCACATGACTCACATGCCGGCCAGATACCGAACCAAAGCTAATTTAATTATTTAATTATTTAATTTTCTTGAATATGGAAATTATTAATTAAATTATCGATAAATTGGCTCGTACACAAATTCGTACCAATCAACATAGGATGGTCCTTTTTAGTGGGATCGCAATGCTTATTTTACGATTAATATTTTATTCAGGTAGAAAATCGATAAAAAAAAAAAAAAAAAAAAACTATTTGTATTTTATTTAATTAAATTAATGTTTTATTGGACTAAAATTAAATTTAATCCAAAATTAAACAAATAAATCAAAGCCTCAACCATATACGAACTTATATTTGCTTCGGGAGGCAGAGTCGGCTGAACAGCTAAACGGTTATTTTTAATTAAGATTCTTTTTTAATTAATACATAATTAAGATTTCAAACATCATAATACTTTTATTCATGTCTTCATCGGTCGTGGAGAGATTTCTTATCTTTCAAATATTTTTAATTAATTCATACCATTTAATTTATTCCAATTCAAAATCAATTTTGACTTCTCCAATTAAATATTATACGAACATCAAAATTTCGACACGTACTACTAAACTCAACTCCAAACTATAAGGGTCAGATTGTTATTTTTTTTATTTTCATTATTTGAGTTGGATTGAATTTTTTGAAAACCGAAAAATCTGTTTCGATTCGAGAGTTAAAGCTCTATTGTTTGGATTTTTTATCCCGACCAAGGGTTCCCATTATCATAATAATATTTTTTTCAATCCATATTATTTATAGCGTATATGGATTGAATTTAGAGGAATTTTTTAATCGACTCGAAATAGGATAAGGATTATAATTCAACCCAACCCAATTCTTTATTTTTTTGGGTCGGAGTGAGTTGGATTTTCAAATATGGTTTGTTTTGCCCGGTTACGTATAAACATCAAGGTCATGTCTTAAAAACACATCTGCTAGTAGAAACAATGTTTTATTCCCTTCTCTAACTGATATGAGATGTCATATCGGAGACTCAACATCCTCCGACGTGGGATCTCACAATCCACCCTCTTTGGACAACCATCGTCCTCGTTGGGCACACCTTCCGGTATCTGGCTCTGATATCATTTGTAATAGCACAAATCCACCACTAGTAGATATAATCCGTTTTGGCTCGTTACATATTGTCATAAATGTTTTATTTCTCTCTCCAACTCATATGGGATATTACCGTAACTCTTTAAAAAAAAAAAAAGAAAATTACTTATCCACTTTACATATTACATTAATAACTAAAATCTCATAAAACCAATACATTAAACATTCATAAATTACAACATATCGCTAGCTAAAAATTTAAAAATAAAATAAATATGAATTATATTTATATTATAATATATTTGTAATTTAACGTTGTAAGTCAAATAAAACAACGTGGAAACAAGTGTACGAAAATGTATATTTTTTTGGAACTGATCTTCCTCGGGGCGAGAAGAGAGAGGTGTGTGATTTTTTGACTAAGATTTTGCAATAAGGGGTAATGAAAAACGACACCGTATTGTGGGTTTCGAGGCAGTATTAAGAAAATGGAGCACGGACCAAACATTATAATTATTGGGATAATCATAATATTGCCTCAACGGGTACAAAATCCCCACGGATCCGGAGAAGATGGGTCGGTCCATAGTCAACTATTTCTTTTTCTTATTTTAAATTAATTCACCCAACTCATCCAAATTAATCCCTTTATTTTTTAAAATCTATATTATTTTTTTATGATACATGCATCTGATTCCATAACGTTGCCTTATATTAATTTGGACGGTTTGAATATGGGGCTGTTCTTATTTTATCTGAAAAGTTTCAATTATCCCCTTGGAATCATATTTGTCTTTTCAGAGCTAAAAAGAAATATTATTGTAATATTACAGTGGAATCACTTTTCCTATTTTTCCTTTAGACCTTACAATTAAAAAAGAAGTTCACGCTATATTTGAATGAGCTAGATCTTAAGACTCAAAAGAATTGAAAGTCACTATCTATATCAATAAGGTGCACTTTCTTTTTCGGTGGCTCAGTCATAGGAGCTTCAAAGTTAAATATGCTTTGTTTGGAGCAAAATTTCTAAGATATATATAAGTGATGACAAAACATGCTGGAAAAACGTCACTATATCGCTGGAACTAGTAAATAAAAAAATAGTTGGTAAGTAAAATCTTAGATTTGTAGGGGGAAAAACCAAGATTTGGAGATATTTTATGAATTATATAAGGAAAATAAGTAAAAATAATAAAGAAATAAAGAAATAAATAAAGAGATGTGGAGACAAAGGAATAGGAAGGATGACAGCTGGTTCCTTCCCATTCCTATCACGGATCTGTCCCTCCTATTTTCCACCTCCACAATCTATTTGTCAGTAAGATCCTTTTTATTTTTTTAATCCTTAATTATTATATCATTTTAATTTAATCCTTCCACTTTTTTTTTTTTTTTTTTTTTTTTTTAA